TAATACAGAAAAATATTTTAAAATGTTGATAAGTGAATGTTCTAGATTTCTCTCTCAAAAATTTCTTGTAACGAACATGTTTCCATGCGGCAAAAATTCCATCCCTGCTTAACGAATGTAAAATCAATTGACTTCTAATCTTTGGTGATTCAAAAAAAAGTGTGAAATTTATCCAAATTACCTCCTAATTAAATTAACCGTCGAAGAACAAGCAGGCCCTCTCTTTTTCATGTAATCGCAGCTGCTCGAAGTCTTCATCTCGGGCTTTTTGGATACGGCCTGAGTGTAGTTCGAGATGAATCGTTTGACGGGGTCGCGTACTATGACGAATGAATGGATCAATTTGTGCATTTATTCCGTTTAATTTGTCCTACAATAATCATCACACCGGATAAAATAAATCAGTTTGAGTTGTTCGTTGATTTCTGAGAATAATTTCTAATTTCACTTTGACATTTCGATTTTGCATGGCTAATCTGAAGACGCGATCGCCGAACGTCGACAGTGCGACGGAACATTTCGCGACAACTCGGATCGGGCGCGAATTTCAAAATACGATTTTTAAAACCTTTTTACAGTAAATGAGCGCGATGCAACGATTTGAAAAAATACTGGCCGATAGCCCTCTTCGACCTCCACAAAGCCATCACTCAATAATAGCTTTAAAGTGATCTGGGGAGATATTATAAAATAAAAACTAATTCCCATGTTAATTCCCTATATCCAGACTTGGATGCGGCACCCTGTATATAAAAGGCAATGTCCCGACTGACCTATCAACGCCAAGCCCAAACCGTTAATGCTACAAAGTTGAAATTTGGAGAGAATGTTTATTTTATACTGGAGGGATCGTTTATGAAGAGATTTCTCAAAATTCATCCCCTAAGGGGGTGAAAAGGGGTGATAAAATTTGTACAGGACCAATATGTCTACTGTAAAATTTACATCGTTACGTGAAACCTGGTACATTTTAATCATCTTCAATATAAATAAGGAAATATGCATTTAAGCATTTTCAGAGATTCGACCTCTAAGGGGGTGAAAAGTGGTGTCTAAGTTTGTATAGGAACCATATTTCTACTATAAATTGAAATTTTTACGTGAAACTTGGTGTTAATGTTCTTCAACACAAATAATGAAACCCGTCTTTAAGCATTTTCTAAAATTCAACCCCTAAGAGGATGAAATGTGGAGGCTAAGTTTGCATGGGAAAATATTTCTATTGTATTGTATAAATTTTTACGTGAAACGTTGTATTAATGGTCTTCGACACAAATAATGAAACACGTATTTAAACATTTTTCGAGATTCAACTCCTAAGGGGGTAAAAATGGGTGTGGCTAAGTTTGTATGAGAAAAATATTTTTATGGTGAAGTTTACTTAAAACTTGGTATTAATGCTCTTTAGCATAAATAATACAACACGTATTATTTAAGCATTTTTCCAGATTCAACTCCTAAGGGGGTGAAAAGTGGTGACTAAGTTTGTATGCGGAAAATATTTCTATTGTAAATTTTGAGGTGGTATTTAGTATTAATGCATAATGATTAATGAAACACGTATTTTAACATTTTCCGAGATTCAATCCTTTAGGGGGTGAAAAGTGGTGGCGAAGTTTATATGGGAAAAATATTTCTATCGTAAATTTACATTTTTACGTGGAACTTGGTATTAATACTCTTCAACACAAATAATGAAAGACGTATTTCAGATTTTTTCAAGATTCCACCTCTAAGAAGACGAAAGAGAGTGACAAAAAATATTTTTATGGTGATTTTTACCTGAAATCCCCCCCCCCCCCCCCGTTTTTTTATTTATTTATTTTGTTATTACACCTTTCTAAACTGAATCATACCAACCTTCGGCGTCGATTATTCTATTGAATTGTCCTAGGGGAGAGTCTATCAATTCGGTTGTGGTAATCGGAGGACGTTGTTTTTATCTAGATGAAGGAGATATAAGTAAATGATGTTCAGTATCTGTTTTGGCATTGATTGTATTGTTGTTTTTATAAGTGTTCACCATTTCCAAGAAATTCCTTTTTTGTGTGTTTCGTTCTTTGTCTTATATTCTTAAAATCAAATCTATGGTCTTGATCTATAGTATGTATTGCTAGCGTGTATGATCTTTTATTGTTCTTTACATCGGATTTGTGTGATGTAATTCTGTCTTTTAACCGTCTTCCACAGTCGAAGCAACGAATGGCATAAACGACATCGCATGTGGTTAGATGCTTGTTTGGGTCTTTCAGTTTTGTGAGTATATTTTTTATTGTAAGTTCATTTCTGAAAGCCAGTCTTATGTTCGGAAATCTTTTAAATATATTCCGTAATTTTTTTGCGAGTTCTTCTATGTATGGTAAGCTGTAAGAGTGAACCAGTTCATTGTTTTCTGGAACGTTCGTATGTATATTTGGTGGTATGATGCCTGATCTGCGGAACAAGAGTTTTTTCAACAGTTTGGGTGGGTAACCATTGTTGATAAATAGTTGAAACAATATTTTTAGATTCGATTTTTTGAGTGATGGATCTGGTCTTAATTATTCTATTTTTCATTCCCAGGACTATAAGTAATTCACGTTCGGTAGATGTAACTAGATTTGGTAACTTTTTTTTTTAAGCTGTGTAACTGCGGACATAATTGTTCTAGTGTATAATGTATTACTGGAATGTCAGAAAGTAGCTATCAAAAATGTGACATGTAAGTAAGTAAAGGTCAAATATCGAAAATGTGATGGTTTTGTGGTAATCTGGTGAATCTATTTTTGAACCAAGGAGAAAATCGCATCCCTCTAAAAGCCCAAAGAGCAACCCGCATGTAAAATTTTGAATCTTTTCCCTTCACTAGTTTTTTTCGGAGGACAAGCTTTGATGTCATCATCATGGATCCACAATTTCACCATGGATCCGTTCTGGTATATCCATGTCTCATTCAAGAAAATGAAAAGTAAATCTTCACCACAATCACGCAATTGGAGATAGGTACCGCCTTAGAAATTTGATTCTGGCAGCTATAACGTGTTTAAAATGTGAAAAACTTCGCCTTCGGAAACCTAAATTTATACGTGTATTATGTACAATTATTTTCAAAGCCAAGTGTTTTACCTCTTACAAAACAATAACGATTATATAAAACTTAAAAACCAATTGTAGAACGGAACCAACAAAGCATGTAGGTATATAAATCTGCGCAGTCGTCTTTCTGATTCTGATTATAATATTAACGGCACAAGCGCCGCTGTATCTGTATTATTTTAAAATTCGAAAAACACTCGACAACACTAGCGAACTTTACGGAGAATATTTCTGCCACCAGTTTAACTGTTTCCGTTTTACCCAATTTTTTGAAAACCACGAAATATTTCTTGTTTCTTTTCCTTCAAAATGAGCTTTCTCGTGATTACTTTTATGGAAACTATTTCCACGCTGTATTTAAGGATTTTCTAGAAACGAAGCGTGTTGAAATTAGAAAAACTTCGTTTTTTTCCACACAATTCAGATTTGACATTTGAATTAGAAAATTAGACAGTTGATGCCAATCTTAAATTTCTAGTGATCTTAAGATTGCAACTTAACCACAGAAAAGTTTCTGTCAGTTACTTCTACCGAACGTGAATGCTTATTAGATTGATCTTTTGTTTGTTTTGATGATATGATTCAAAATGGAGACATCTTCCAGATGCTCCTGGTTTCATATCCCACGCTGTAACTAATGTTTTTTTTTTCTAATTAGTCTAGTATCCAAAAACGGGACGCTGTTATTTTCGTCTTCTTCTTCTATGGTGAATATTAATAGCGGATTACAGTTGTTAACTACGTGTTGTTCTTCCGTTTTGTTCTGTGGCATGCTTAGAATTATGTCATAAACGTATTTTTTAAAAAATGGCATAGAGAAAGATAATTGGTTAAGACAATCGTCAAGTACATCATCTATTACCTATTATGCAATAATTGGTGACACAGGATTACCCATAGGCATGCCTATAACTTGTTTATAGTACGGTATTCATCTATAATAAACAGATCTATAAACTCGAATAAATTACTTGATAAGATAAACTGAACTCAACGGTAGCTGCATGCTACATTGTAGGATGAAAAGTAGGCAGCGTTCAATACCAAATTTTGTGATGACGTAATCAAGTTTTTGCAAGGGTATATACGAATACATTTTGATTAACGATTTACGATGTTTTGGATAACCTTAAAACGTTTGTAAGATTTCAGAGTATCCGGGTTTGCAATTTCAAAGTTAAATTCCAAAATGTTGTTACATAATTTTGATTTTTTTGCAAAATCTGGATATTTAGGCTAAAAAAATCAGGACGGTTTCATAAATCACACCTGTAGGAGTATGCTATTTTATAAAAGTTAAAATACATTTATTTTCCAAAACAGTGAAATGACGTCATACATTTCTTCCGGGTTGTAAAGAGATAAATTTTGATTAAGAGTTTACTATAATTTCGTTAAGCTTAAAAAGTTTACATGATTTCAAAGCGTTGTGTGCTGCAGTTTCAAAATTAAATTACAAAATGTTGTTAAATAATTTTGATTTTTTCCAAAAAATCTGGATGCCTATGGTACAATTTCGACATGGATTTATAAATAAAGCGGAGGTATCTTATTGTAGAAAATTAAAAAAAAAATTACTGTTGTAAAAGTTAGAAATGACGTCACATAGTATGTGGAGATAATCAGAGAAATTTTGGCTAGCTTTTTACCATCTACATGCTATTCCTAATGTACCTCAAACACCCGGTCCGGTAGTCTTGGAGATTATCTGTCTAATAAAAGTCGACACAGACGCGGTTAGACGGCAGATAACAGACGGCAGACGGCAGACGGCAGACAGACATACAGCTTATGCCCAGGAAGTCAAAATCTTGGCAACATTACTCATTATAGAAACAGCCATACGTATTGTAATATGTGTACTGAAGTATTGTATTTTTTTTTCATATTAATTAATCTGGGTTAACAAAAATTAGTGAAATCTATTATTTTTAAGATACATTTATTGTAATAAGAAAGTTGGCCATATTAAACACAGTGAAAGATTGTCAACACTCTCTTTTTTTGTGCAATTTTTGCTGTATATAAACCAAAGTAATCTAAATATTCTTGCTCTATCGTAATTATGATTTTTGTTAAAAAGTTTTACAATACCTTATTACTGACCTTCTTTGTATTGAAATCAATTTATAACAACTCTTTTAATTTTCGTCTTAATATTTTTCCACTAGTACTTTTGGGAATTTCTTCTACAAATCGAACACCCCCATATAAATGCTTTTGGGCAGACATATTTTCTGAAGAACTTATAGCTTAGAAAATTGTACTTAAGATCGTTAGTCACATACCAGCAATATAATTAATAAGTTCCTCCTCACTAACATTTTGATTAGGTTGTTTCACAATGAATGCGATGGGTACTTCTCCTGCTCTTTCATCTGGTTTACCTATTACTCCAGCATCTTTCACTCCGGAGTGTTGAAGCAAAAGATTTTCTAATTCAGCAGGAGGAACCTAAAAATGACTTCAATAGTGATTACATAAAAGGGTAACCTTACCTGAAAGCCTTTATATTTGATTATTTCCTTCAGACGATCTACAATGTAAACATATCCTTCCTCATCATAGTACCCTAAATCTCCACTCTTCAGAAATCCCTCTGTATCAAATGCGTCTTCAGTTTCAGTGGCGTTTCCTAAGTAACCTTTCATTACACCATCACCTTTAAAGCGTAATTCACCCACTTCGTGAGGTGGTAACAGTTCTTCCGTTTTCACATCAACTATTTTGATCCGATGAGTGGGAGTAGCTTTTCCTGATGTACCATATTTCTTTACATATTTTGGCTTCATAGTAACCGCTCCAGATATTTCTGTCATTCCATAAACTTGTCTTATACTTTTCACCTTTAACGTTCTCTCAGCTAATTCTTCTAATTCCTTCGTAAGTGGAGCCGCCCCTGATATCACATCATCAACTGATGAGAGATCATACTTTTGTACTAGAGGACTTTTTGCTAAAAAGAGAATTATAGGCGGCACAATCACTAATTTTGTGACCTTATGTTGCTGGATGCTGTTCAAAAATCTTTCGGGATTGAATTTATTCAGTATTAAAAATTTTGTGCCGTATAGAATGCTAGCAAGACCAACGGCGTTACCAAAAATATGAAAAAATGGAAGAAAACCAATAGTGTTGTCGGTATCATTAAGACCTAGAAAGTCAGGGTCTCCAGAGCATATCATGGTGGTGCGAAAATTGAAATGGGTTAGTTGAACGCATTTTGGTAGTCCAGTTGTTCCTGAGGAGGTTAAAATAAGTGCGACATCTTCTTTTGGGCTGACTTCAATGGGCGTGAAGGATTCATTTTCATCCACATTTTCTAAGAAGTCGTTAAAATTTGTTGCTTCATAAAGTGTTTTTTTGTCATAGTTTATAAGTTTTGTAGGATAAAAAGATTCTTCTTTTAACGGAAGTATATTTCCTATAGTTTTTGATGTACAGAAGACAAGTACGGGCTTCGAAATTGACAAAAAGTGTTTCAGTTCGCCTAAAAATATCACCAAGTATATACAACAAATAAAACTCGACAAAAATAATTCTACAGTTTCAAAAACTGTAAAAAGTATTCACGATTTGTGATAAAATAGTACTAGCCACGACATGTGTCAATCAAATAAAATTCATTACTGTGACATTTTGGCTATTTCATTTAAATTCATTATTCTGATTTTGGGTTCAAAACAAACTTTAAAACATGCTTTTTTGCAACTACAATCATTAGCTAACTTAGATTAATGAACATTCAAACGCAAGAACAGCTTCAATTTTTTCTACACTAGATTATTATTCCAGTGGCACTTGCACAATTTGTTTACAGTTTCAAACTGTTGTAGGATTCTTTTGATTGCTGATGGCCCTGAAATTTGTCGGTTTGGCTAAAGTGCCGCAAAAGTTCATGAAATTTCCTATAGTGACTGCCTGCCCTAGTACCATTTTACCGAATTAATTTTGCAAAAACAAAAGGCAGAAAATTCAATAATTATTACCGACAAATTAATGAACTGCCGATGAATTATCATATTACTCATGGCTAGTACTATTTTATCACAAAAAGTGGATTCTTTTTAACAAGTCTTAACAAGTTTTTCCGCTTCGGGAGTAAAAGTCGGTTTCTATGATCGTAAAATCGGGAGAGAAATAGATCATTTGCTCTCAGGAGGGAAATAGAATATTTGCTCCCTAGGGAGAGAACAGTTATTTACATTATGAGTGCGGTAGGTAGCATTATACAAGCGAGGTTTTAATTTTGAAGCACAACGCGTAGCGGAGTGCTTTAAAACCGAACATTTCGAACTCATAATAGTCATAATACACGGGTACGATAATTGTGAAGTACACGTTCGTATTAATAAAGCTGAATGTTTTTTGTTTTTAATTTTACTTCATTCATAATTCCATTACATTGTAAAAAATTTATGGAAGGTTATTTTGACGGAACTTTCTTCGCCCTTAAAAATTAATATATACCTATGTGGATTTTTTAAAATACCTACAAGTAAAGAAGAACCACATGCGTGTTTCTAGTGAGTTTTCCTTTATAAGAACTTTTTAATGACGTCATCAACGTTTTAGCAAGGACACGGACACCAATATGAATAGGTGTTGTGTAATACTATTAATAACAATATGTAGCCTCAAATTTTCCAGAAAATAGGATGGGCAAGAAAACATGTCGCCCCATTGGTTATTGTTTTTTGAGTCACCTTGTATAAGTAATTCTAAAAAATATGAATAAATTAATAAAGGACAAGTTAATATAAACTCTGCACGGATGAATTTTGATTAACGATTATTATAAAGCTTTCGATGACCGTAAGACATTTGTAAGATTTCAGAGCATTCGGTTTTGCAATTTCAATTTTAAATTACAAATTATTAGACAATTTTAATTTTTTTTTTTCAAAAATCTGCATATGTATGGTAACAGCTCAAGATGGATTCATAAATTACACATGCAGGACTATGTTTTTTTAAAATTTATATAACATTTACTCACCCAAATTGTAACATGAGGGGGAGCCGTAAACGGATAAATTTTGATGCATAATTTACGTACCATGCTTCCGATAACCTTAAATCATTTGCAGATCATTTAGTTTTGCAATTTCAAATATAAAGTGCAAAATATTGTTACACAATGTTGATTGTTTTTCCAAAAATCTGGATGCCTAGGGTAAAAAGTCAACACGGATTCATAAATTACAAGTGGAGGAGTAGATCTATGTGGATAAAAATGAATGTTTATTCGTTTGTTCCCTATGCCTTCGTAAACCATTCATCTGATTGCAATGCAACTTTGGTGAGCTGTCCGTCAAGGTTTTAGAATTAGTGCAATCATGTTACAATGATTCGTGCCGTATAAACCTAGTTATTTTATAAAATTTAAATAACATTTACTATCGTAAAAGTTGGAGATGACGGCATATCTTTTTTGGTAGGGATGATCAACCACATTTTGGTGAGTGTTTTATCATTTACACAATATTCCTAATATACTTATGTACATACAAAATTTTAGAACAGTTGGTCCAGTAGATGTGTAAATTATCTGTCTATTAAAAATAAACACTGACGCTCACAGACGGCAGACAGCAGACAGACAGACGGAGACGAGATACCTATTTTTTCGTACCCTAGTGGTCATGAAATGTCGAGAAAATATGAAAGTAGCCAGCCGTCCGATGTATTCAATTACAATCCTTCCTTAGCTTACGTTCGGGAAGTAAAAATGAAACAAAAATTAAATACTTACAAAATGCACCACTTTCTTCATGTTTTATCATTCAAAAGGACACAGTTCATAATGAATAACGACATCAGAAAAGAGCCTTATTGCGTAAATATATATAGTACGGCAAACGTTAAATGCAAATTATTCCAATTATGAGTATTACCACTGTAAAATCTCCAGTCACTTTCGAAGCTGTACCCTGTGTAAAGCTGTCAATCAACATTAGTCGCCACCCTTGTACCATGTATTTGTTCTCTAGTAAATGCGTAATGGTTTTATTGCAGGTTGCGGTCTAAAATGCTAAATATCCCTCATAAAATAATTGACGGCATTTGCATTAATCTTTTGCCGTACTTTAATAACGTATTCCTAAGCAGAAGAAACAAACAATGCATTATCAAACGTTTTAACAGCGGCTACGAAATCATCGCGTCCAGATAAATCAAGGGAAAAATACGAAAAGGGTTTCGCAATATTTTATTAATGAAGAATTAACAAGAAAACGAAAAGTTTTATAAAAGAAGTATACTGGCTTTCAATACCTAATTTTCTGTACTTTGAGAACGTAACACAAAACAAGGTTCAATAATATAGTCCAAAACTTCATGTTAAAAAGACTTCTTGAAATGAATGAAAATATGCATATTTCAATCTACAAAATGTTGGTTTCTGGACGTCAAAATAACAGTTACGAACCGAAAAAATAAGTTTTAACCATTGTAACATTATGAAGTTTTTAATAGAAGCCCTGATGATTTTTTCTTGTTGATGAATGTTGCCTTGATAATCTTAATATTTGATTTTAATTAAGCGTGCCGGAGTGAAGAGTTACAGATGTTGAGTGTATCAATACAGAATCAATGTTAATCATCAGTCTCACACAAAACATATACCTTATTCACTGTTATTTAGGAGGTAGTTGGTGTCGATGCAATTCAGTTGTATCGACAATTCAACGAATATAAATTTCACTAGTGAAGTGGGTACATTTAACTGAAACTAACAAGCCCCAAGCATCATCATTATCACCGTCAGTTAGTGATTTGCAGTCAGCATCAGCTGTTTCTTTACGAAAGTAATATAACATTTCCTAACTTGAACAATTGTACAACTAAAATTTACAATGATTAATTGAAAAAATAAACTCCTTTATTAAAATTCTCAATTGTTTACTTTTTATCATTTTCATTTAGTATACGAAAAAACGTAATGTGATACTTATCAAAAAATTAAAAAAAAAACACCAAGAGAGGAAAGTGTTAAATTTTTTGGTATAATTATTATTAATGACTAAACCCAGATCTAATTAATGCTCACTAAACGGAGTTTGTAATTTTAAAGTTTGTTTGATGAAAACGTTTACTCACTTTTAATTTATTATATATTACGCTAGTATGGCGAAAATTTAATGTAATATAACAATTAAAAATTCAAAATTTTTTCATAATTATCCTACGTTCACTTATTGATGCAGCATGTCATAAAAAAATGTACTGTACTTACCAGAAGTATAATCATAATTAAGTGGGTTGACTGTTGCTCCAACATAAAAACCAGCAAGAGTTGTGACTAGATATTTCCAGTGATTATGTGATATTATTGTTATGACATCATTTTTCTTTATGCCAAAATTTTTCAGTTGTTTCGCCAATAGAACCGACAATTGTAGGAGTTTGCCGTAAGTGATTTGTACATTATCTGTGTCAGTCTAAAAAAAAAACTTAGAAAGAAACTCCGCAAATGTAAAAAATGTACAATAGATATTCTGTTAGAATCCCACTTTTTGATTCCTTCGTAAAATATCACACCCATTGATTTTTCGGGAATAAAATTCTTGTCAGGGGGACCCTCTAAAATTATCCCACTCATGTTTTCTTAATGCTCAACACACAACTGATGAATCTTTATTAATTGTATTTCACTAGTTGTTTACATTCTCTTATCTCACAATAACAAGCTGAATTACAAAATTATCAAATTGGTACACTAATTGTAACATAAAAACTGCCTTTGTTGCAGCTTACGTCATTTAATTATTTGGTAGTACTTGACTACTTGCATCATTCAACGTAACTTTGTATAGATGAAGCTATTAGCAGTTTAAAAAAGAGTTAAAAAGTTTAGATAAAGTTGTAAGCAAACATTTTATTGCTTGAACTGTGATCCCGTTTATCAATTCTTCAGTTCGTTACACGGATGTTTAGAAGTAAATATGTTACATTTACAAGCATTTCAAAGGTCAAAAATGCGTCCAAAATTTCACAATAATCTGTTTATAACAAAATGACTTCTCTAATAAAATCGGAGGTCTAAATATATTTTCGCATTCTGGGAGCAATGATTGATCAAGAAAATGTGAAATTACGTATTAGGAGCATTCCACTGTCACGTTCGGGATATTTGTAACAATAATTTTCAGTAAAACTTAGTCCTATTAGTTTTCTAAAACGGAAATTACTACCATGGCGGCTACCTTAGAAAAATTAAGAGTTTTTTGAACAATCTTGGTCAATTTGTTTTTAGGTTTTTGTTTTGTGAATTACAACAAATTCATTACTAAAGTATGTCAGGTATGGGACATCAAAAATTCTTACATTCTAAATGTATCGAAGAAATTTTGCTATATCTGCTCCGTTTTAATTCCCCGAAGAGGGTGTATTTTATATATTTAAAATAGAAGTACAACCTTTAAGTAATTTGGGGATTGTTTTGACTCATCGCCCTTGACGGTTTTTTCATAAGAAATTATTTTTAAACTGTCACGTATGGGAGAGTGTTGTCACGTATGGGACATGTGTGAATGGTAAATTAATAAAAAATTCTAATTCGCAATTTTAATAGCTAGTAAAGACAGGACACACCATAATGACACAACTAAATATCAATAGTGACAAACAAATAAATTGCAACAAATTACATTACTTTAATATTTTTTAAATATTTGTAAAGTCTAGAGCATTTTTGCGAAAGTTCAGTGGGGGTTGCTTCGTATGCAGTGATATGATCAATTCCTGCCAAACATTTTGACATAAGTATGTATGTGACATTTATAGGTTATGGCTGACCACGGGTTTTAAGAACTTAAATATTAAATAGAAATATTACAAGAACGTGGAATGCTCCATTAGTCAAATGGAACATACTATAATTAACTTACGTTCAGCAAATAATAATTGCAAGTTATTCTTTTTTTTACATAATGAGGCACAGCTTTTTTTGTTCTTTCTAATGTCATTGAAAATATTGTATTAAGTTCGAAGTAGACTTATACTAGGATGTAAAATTTATTAATCAAAAAATAAAAAAAATGTTTTTTGATCTCATAATACACGGTTTTAAACCGAATGTTATGCGGTAGGTAAATGTGGTTACTAAGGTATAGCTTTTAAATAAAATCAGCCATTTGTAATTTTTTACTTAAACATCTTTATTGTGTAATTATAGCTCTGTTTGTTTGGTATTGAATTGGTATTGATATTCTAATATATTTCTGGAGAATTTCATATACAGGGTTATTCAGCTAAGATGACCCATTTGTGTTTTTAAAACAGACAACCCATATTACCGATTCCACTTGGGCCTGGATTACAAAAAATGTTTCAAAATTGAATTGTATCAAAGTTTGCTTATAAGTGTTTAGAAACGTCAGTGTCAGAAAAATGCCTATGCATTCTTACGATAATAACGAGAAAACCGATATGTTTGCCGAAGTAAAAGAGATTTTTGTGGGCAAATTGTGTTTTTCTATTGCCTGGTAGGTGAACGAAACACATTCAATAAATTTAAGACTGTCATGCAACTGTAATAAATTGCTGACTTTAGCTTCATCACTGAACAAAACACACTCAATAAAATTGGGATTAATTTGTATTTGGTTTCTTATAAAGTTATAAAAATCCAATCTTTGTGGTCGGTTTGTGGATCGAAGTGCATGCTCCAGGTATAGATATTTAGAGTGGTTAGGATAAAATTTATTTATTATTTATTATCTAGCAATAGCAATTTGCCCCATAACTCCTATATGAGAATTCTCATTAACTTGTGCAAGAAGTTATACTTTATTTTCCAAGCTAGTCGCAGTCTGGTTCCGTTTCCTCTTGTTAACAGGCCACTTTCTTACGCAACGAATTTTCTAGCCTCTTGAAAATTTTGGGTGTTGGGGCCACACGGTCAGGGTATCTTGGGGGTTTTCTCGTTATTGTATGCATAGACGTTTTTCTGACACTGACTTTGACTGACGTTTCTACATTTGGAAAACTTTGATACAATTTAATTTTGAAACATGTTTGGTAATCCAGTTTCAGGTGGAATCGGTATTTTGGGATGCCTATCTTAAAAACATAAATGGGTCATCTTAGCTGAATAACCCTGCATACTCCATATATTCCACATTCTGTCCCGATTTACCCTGTCAAAGATTTGTTTAAGTTCCACAAAATTTATGTATACCCTACCTATTGTTATGGTACTAATATGATCCGTGCATCCTCTGTTATTTCTAAACCCCGCCTGAACTGATTTCATATGTTGGTCGATGTCGCTTTTCATTTCTAGGAAGATTAGCGCTAGTTATAACTTTGCTTTGGGTAAATAATATTACCTGGCTGGCTTTATAGCCAGCGTACTTACTCTCGCGTCTTAAAGAAGAATTTAAAAATTTTGCTGTCAACCATCTGCCAAAATGAGAAAGCTGTGATGTAATTTCTGGGATTCTAGTACTAAGTACTGCTGGGAGCTAATAGATTATTGTCTCAACATTATGTAATATGAGGCAAAGAAAGGGACACCTTTTCATGTGTTCCTTTGTTTCTCAGCTTTCCGAGAATATATTTTTAAGTTCAAAATTTATATACCTAGTAGAAAAAAATCAGTTTTAGCAATTTGTTTGGAACTATTCAAATATGAGATATACTTGAATTTCCTTTTAAAATCAAAATAATTTTCCTTAACTTAGTTGTGTATTTTACGTTAATATTTGATTTAGAAATGAAGTTATAGACAAATTGGCAATTGCGAAGACATTAAGAAAACTATGGCGCTTGTAATGATCAATCCATTTTCAATGTCGAATCTTAAATAAAAGTAAAAAGTATTGCCTTCATTAAGCTATGGAAGTATGAATTTAATCTTTATATTTTGTAATGCATAAAAAAAAATCACGATAGAAATATTTGTCATGTGGACATTTTAATGCTTTAAAGGCTGTTCGTTGACCGATTTTTTGTTAAATCTGTACAACCGAATAGCTGTTGGACAAGAGAGAGTTTCAGAAATATGAAATGTATCTATCATTAAATCAAACTAACTGGGATGATTTCATTAAAACAAAGGATGTCAATCAAGTTGTAGGTAATTTTTGCTATAAACTATACATAGTATTATTAGATTCTAATGTACGTAAAACTCCTGTTACAAGATCCACGAAGTATCCGTCATGATTTATTAAAGACAAAATTTATAATATAAAAGAAAAATGACTTTATTTGAAAATGTGCCATAGAACTAGAATTCCATTATACATATATAGAGATAATGTTAAAATCACTTGCGTTAAAGTAAGATCTAGTATTCGAATATAGTAAGTTTTTAAAAAATATGGTATATGGCACTATATAAAAATTGGTCTAAAGAGTTTAGATAGTACTTCCCTCGCTTTCGGAAACGTGACGACTGCATGCCTATTATGTTTTTTTTTCGCAGTAGATTTTAAAGCATTCAGTTTTGTAGTTCCTGAGTAAACCAATAAAATAAATTTACTCATTCATTTGTTTTTTTGAGTCACCAGGTATATGCAAATTCAAAAATATAAGTGGAATGATAAATTACAAGTACAGACTCATTATATTTTGTATATTCTAGATAGGATTTGTTCAGCAAACTTTTGAGCTGAAGATTTATGATGCTCTTTATGCCCTTAAAACATCTGCAACATTTCATAACATTCGGGTTAGCAGATTCAAAATTAAATTGCAAAATGTTGTTTTATAATTTTGATTTTTTTTCCAAAAATCTGGACGTTTCGGGTAAAAACTCAATTCGGAGTCATGAACTACATATGTCGGACTATGTTTTTTTATAGAATTTAAAAACCCATTCACGATGTACAATTTTGAAGTGACGTCATCACATTATTGGTGGGGATGACTAGACAAATTTTGGTTGGCGTTTTACCATCTACATGATATTTCTAATATAAATACAAAATTTGACAGCAATCGATCCATTACTTTCGGAGATTATCTGTCTAATAAAAATCCGGGACGCAAACAGACGGACAGACAGACAGACAGACAGATGGAAACGGGAGACCAATTTGTTCGTGGTCTAGGGGTCATGAAAGGTCGAGAAATCCTATAAGTAGAGAGTCGGCCGACGGACTCAATTACAATACTTCCTTTGCTTACGCTCGGGAAGTAAAAATGAAAATCTTTCATCGCGCCAGGAGATCTAAACTGAAATATTTAAATGGATATAATATTTAGTCCATTTTACCTAATCAAGACGCAAATGTATCTTCATGTACTTTTTATATGTACACTTTAATAGACGGTAAGATAAATTGTCCTAGTTTATTATGTCAAGTTAGTTATATATGTTCCGAGCATAGGCTTAAGATCTTTTTTAACTTTTTACTTTGATACTCGTACCACAAATCAGCATATGCATTCATTACTATGATGAAAAACTAGAACAACATTTGTAACAGAGCTAACCTATTCATCAGTGATTTCTATAGCTTGAAAATACTATATTATGTAACGAGAACAATAAGGACCATATTAGTAGCCGCACTCGGTATAATAATGTTCGAGGCGCAAGCAGAGAATTTTATGCCGAGCAAGGCCGCTAATGTGATTTTTTATATATTCTATTTTATCGTATACCATAGCCTTTTCTTTGCAAGAAAAATTCGCAGAAATATTGTAAAACATTAGCCTCTCATAAATTAAGAGTTTTGTGTTTGGTTGTTCATGATTATTTATAAATTAATAAACAATGAAAGAAAAGCTAGAAAAAAGGC